CACCCATTGGGGGGTTCTTCATGGGCTCCAGCGTGTCCAGGACCACATCGGGGGCCTGCTTGGCTGTATTCTGCCTCTCCAGCTCCCGCAGCTCGTTCAGTGCCGTGCTCATGGTCTTCTCGATGTCCTGTGAATGCCACCGACACAGGGATGTCAGCACCGTGCCACAGCATCACCCCGTGGTCCTGCACCCCACCCCATGGAGATGCCCCCTGTCCTGACATGTGTGTCTGTGAGTGGGGGTCTCTGACCTAAGACAGAGGCTCCAGGCAAAGCAGGAGCTTTAGGAGGAGCTGTAAAGCCCAAACTCTGGCTGCACAAAGGTGCCCCGTGTCCACAGGAGTCTGGTCACGATCTCCAAAGGGAGCAAAGCCCAAGCACCATCAGTGATGGGGTGAACACCAGCGTGCCCCAGGACACGTCCACGCTCCCCCGCAGCACTGCGGCTGTTCTTTCCCCAGAAAAGGAGGCCCTGCAGCCTCCATCAGCTCTACGGGACCTCTGCTGTCCCTGTACCCACAGGGCAACGGCTCGCGCAGGGCAGAAACGCACAGGGGTGTATGCAGAGCGAGCAGCGCGATGGCAGCTCACCATACACAGAAGGGAGGCCGCTACAAGGCCTCTCCCTGCGTGCGGGGAGGCAGCGAGGTGAGACCGGCCCCAGCCTCTCGCCGCCCGCTCGCTTCAGATCGTGTCTCCTAGGCACGGTCTCCATGGGTCCGTCCACGGAGATCCTCCAGAAGGTGAACCCCGTTCAACCACAAGTGCCCATTTAAAGTAAATCAGCTCAGTTGCCTACAACTGTAGTGCTGATAGTCTCATTCAGAAATAGAGGCCGTAGTTTGGTTTCTCTTAAATCCACCTTCACTGAATTAAGGCCACTAACTCAGAATGAGACCATCTGAAACGTGATTTAAGGGAACTGAATCAATTGTTTAAAAAGTAGCTCCAGTTAACTCTCCTTGCTGTCCTTGTATAGACAAGTCCTTAATTTTATAATGCATACAAAACGTTCGGTGAGCCTCAGATAATGTTCAGAGGATCAGCAGAAGGGAAATAATTATCAAATTAACTCCAATTAATTCTATTAAGCTGTTCAGTTAACAAGTGAAAATACTCTCCCAGCACTAAGCCTCCATACTACCAAGTCCAGCAGTCCTACAGACTTCAAGGTAAGTATTTATTTACATCAGCTGAGTGAGAATCTTTTTCAAGGTTTAAAAAAACAACCCAAAGCCCAAGAAAATTGTGCATATCGTGCTCCGTCCTCAGTATTCACCCATCCCTCTGGAGGCTCCCTGCACTCCCACAGCCCTGCGCTGCACCTGGGGAACGCGGCCCCGGGCACCGCTGCGGGGTGCCACGCTACTGCCCATCAGCCGAGCCCGGGGACTTCCTGCACGCTGTTATCCCGTCCCAAGGCGGACGTGGTGCCCCAGCGCGAGCCATCGCTCAGGGCACGCGCTGCGCTACGACCGTAACTTTGTAAATTGTTCACACCAAACGCAAGCTCTTGATGGACAGACAAGCTGGGTAGCGTGCTGCAGAGCAAAAGAACAAGGAGCGTGGCTGGTGAAAAAGCAAACAGGACAGTAAGAGTTCTTCCTTTCTGCAATCATCATTAATTATCCCACTGAAAGCAGCTGATTCGATACGTAACAGCCTGCCAAACCCTGCGGCACACAAGCTGCTTCCAGGCGGTGGGCAGCGGTCTCTCCGGCAGCTGCACCCCTCCACCTGAGCATCACCCACAGCTGCTGCTCCCGCCGGAGCGGGGCACGAAGCAAACGGCCGCCGACTGCTGAAACAGGGGACGCTGAACAGCCTGTCCACAGCGCTGCCGGCCCCCAGGCCCTCAAACAGCCCAACCTGCAGCCGTTCAGACAGATGCCCGGGGACCGTCTGAGCTACGTGGTCTCCGAGAGGCTGGAGAATTCTGCAGCCTGCTCCGGGAAGGGACCGCTCTCTGAGATGTTAACAGGTTGGGCATAACCTGGCCGATTGCTGCCTGGGGGCCTCCTGCCAGCAGCAGGGAGAGGAGACCTGCAGGCTACGCTGGAGGTAACGTGAATCTAATCAGCACCATGGGACCGATGGCCTAGTGTGATGCTGATGATGTTGCATGGCTGGAGGTGTGATATTGGGATTAGGCTAACATTTTGAGGTCCCAGCTACAAACAGCCAGTAACAAACTTGAAGCACTTTCCTCCAAACACTGAGCATCAGTCAAATTCTTATTTGGCAAATCTCGTTTTCTCCTCCTAAGCTCCTTGTGGAGCATCAGATTAAGATAATGTGCTTCCCTCCTTGTGGAAGCAAAGAGCTGCCGGCACATTTCGGTGGTGGATCGAACGTTTCTGTCTGTTGTTTCAAAGAAACAAGGTTTGTGGAAGGGGGCAGCATCTTTCATTAGACCAACCGATAAGGTTGGAAAAGCAGGCAAGCTGTTGGCTGCTCATTTTTGACTTTACACTGTGGCAGCTACAACAGCACTGTAATTCTAAATGGCGTTGAGATAGAAGGGGCTCTGCGGCACTACCCAAGTGACTTTTATTTTATAGCCTCTCGATCCCTGGGCACCGAGAGCCACTTCACAACCCTCTTACCTCAGCAAGCGCTTCTGCTTCTAGAGATTTCTGATCTCCAAGACTACTGTGTCTAGTCGATCCACAGGTCGATCTCAGCGGGTGGCCATCAGACAAGGCCTTCCTGTCTGGGAAATTGATGCTGCCTGCACTGCCGAATGTCGCCATTCTGCGCTTTTCGGGACTCTCAATCCTGCCCCTGTTAAGAGGTATTTTGTGGGGGCTGCTAGGGCAGGCCGCTGCTCGAGGAGGAGTGTCTATGCCAGGACCCATCCCTCGGGGCGGGCTGTGGGTGTCCCCCCCGCTTCGACGGCGAGGGATAGCTGCACCGTCAGACCTCAATCTCACTCTGCAAAGAATCCATCACAAGACTAGGTCACCGTCCGTCAGATCGAAAGTGTCTGGTTGCATGCTGTAAGACAAATCGCTCAGCTCTGAGAGTTCAGATCAAACCAAACTCGAGCCCTTCAGCTCCAGAAGACTAAGGCAAGAGGGAAGACAGACATTTTAGCCAGTGCCAAGAAAGGGACAGCATGGTACCTTCTTTACTTGTTAAGATCTACATTAGCAATGCACATGAAAACCCCCTCCATGCTCATACTATTCTGCAGTGCTTACTGGAGCCTTCTCTTCCGTCTTGCCCTACAGCACACACTGACTCGCCCCACACATGACAGCGATCACCTCTGTGTTCATAGGAAAATGAGAGTTTCCCTACCGGCCCATTACACCCCCAAAGCCATAGTCCACAATATGGTCTGTCGGGGACTGGATGTCGTTCTTGGAGGAGGCTTTATCGTCCAGCAGCGGTCCACTGCTCGCCTCACTGTCCGCCTTCTGACTCAGGCTGTCGGAGAACGCATCATCCCTAGGAAAAGGAGACCCCCATCAGCAACAGGGCTCTGCCTGGAGAGAGGCTAGGGCCCAGCCACAGCGTGGATCTGAGCATCACTACTCCAGCAGCTCCAGACTTTGTTAACAAAGGGCTGGACCAAGGCCACCACTTCAGAGAGTACCCAGAGCTTAGAAAAAGTGAATATCATGTCTCCATATCCCCCTAGGCTGTAGTTGCCATTTTAATGATGTACATTTAATGTACAAGCACAGTACTTGTAATAGAAGTGGCATCTGCGAAGGACCCTGGGATCTGCCTCCAGGCCAGGTGGGCACTGAACAATGCCAGGTCAACATACACAGGGGCAGGGCCAGTGCTAAGCCTGGGTCACGCCACTTTGAGGAGTCAATGATGGATGGGGTTCAGCCACACTGAAGTACAGTATTTAGTGCTTGGCTTTATCAGCTTGAACAAGAAACAACCTGAGCCAATACATGGACAGGCAGATGTGAACAGGTCCAGATTTCTCACTGAAGTCATTAAACCTGGGAAAATCTGACCTCCTGTTTTAGGTGGCTGAAGATGGACCTTTTGCAGGTATGTGATTTTAACATTCTGGATCAACACACGCTACTTTACTCACATGTCTTGCACCACAATGTACTGGTGGGGTATGAGGCCATCCACACCATTATGTCTCCCTTCCCACCAGTCTTCTGATGCCCGATGGTACAGGAGCAGCGAGGCCCCTTTCTTAAACGAGAGCTCTCGTGGAGATCGTCCAATGTAGTCAAACTTTGCTATGGCTTCAATCTGCTCCACTTCTGCAAAGGACAGAAAACAAGATAGAGAAAAGCTTAGTTCAACAATCACAGGGGCACAATAAGTCCTAGAAAGAGGCATCTCACCAGAATAGCAGTAATGCTGCTGCCCTAGCTTCCCGAGAGCATCTTTCACCGAGTACAAACCATCTTATTTTTAGACCTATCAATTCTTTTTGTTCTTCCAGCCTTCCTGGAATTTCTCACAGACTCACAAACTACCAGCAATTACAAAAAGCTACAGACCAGATGGGGAGTAGTTTATATTTCCCTGTGTGCATATGGCATCGGCACCCGCACTCCCATTTTCTACCTATAAAGTGATTTCTTCAGTTACAGTACCCCATTATCCTCCAGACTGGGATCTTGTCAAGCTGTGTCAGATACTGTGATCAAAGCCCCACTTACCTTCTCTTCCTTTCCTTATCCTGGAGACAGGCTAAATTATTGATAAGTAGCAAATCCCCCTTTGGGGGTCCCCATAGAAACGATGATATTGGCTCTGGCCAGGCAGCTGCTCTGCCTCACACCCCCACATCTGCAGACTTTCCAGCACTCCACCTCACCGCTTCTCCACTTCTTCTAAGTTAAGCTCTACCAAACGCCAGGCATTCACACACTGGGAGCTCATGGCCTGAAATTCAAGAGGGCTGAGGCAGGACTTCACTTGGGGAGGTTGTAAGCACACCAGGAACCTTTGAGTGCCCGGCCAAGGGCACCACAGCGGGAGCTGCCAGTGCATCTGAACAGGAGCCTGGCTGGCTCCAAGGAGCCCACGGAAGAGGCCTGGCTCTTCTGCAAATCTGTTCCCAGCTGGGAGCACCGAGTCCCAGAGAACCCACTGCAGCGACTGCAAAGCTGCGACAGCACTTCTCTCTGCACCGGCAGCAGCAACCTGCACTCCGCCTCACTTGCTGCGAGACAAAGCAGGCTGCCACCACTCAGCTACCTCGAGCCACTGTCGGAGCCAGCAAGCAAGCAGTCAATGTACCTTGATTATTTGAGACACCTGATCATTTTAAACCCCGCCTGGAGACTGGCAGACAGGCAATGACAAGGCAAAACAGGGCACATCTGCCCAGTTCCTCCAGATCTGTCACGTTCTCATTAAAATATGGAAATGGGCTCTGCTGCGTCTGCCTTGTCACTAACCACAGGCTCGGCAGAAGCAGCGATCAGGACACGATCAGCCGCTCTGCGCAGCGACAAAGTCTGCACAGAGGAGGAGACAGCACAGGAGGACACGGGAGACACTGAATCAGATCCCTGCCCCCTTCTCTGCCTCACGTGGGACAGGACAGGTCGTTTCAGCAGACTGGTTTTCCCCAGCTTAAAATACACATCCACACCAATCTAAGCAGCAGGGTTTGGGAACACTACAGCAGGATCAATGGGGGATGCTCTGGAGGAAACGGAGCAGGGAAGGTGACCGGAGAGCTTTCACAAGCTCTGCTAAAATACGGAGTTTTCCAGCAGGGAGGGTGCACGAGGCGAGGGAGAGGGGAATAAGGAATATGTAAATTCACAAAATAAAGCTGCTCCTCTTCTTCACACTTGCACCACAGTTAATCACCTGGAAACTCCAATCAGAGCTATTAATGTGACCACCCAAGCATAAAACTGGCTAAATGGCAGCCTGCTCTCCTCCATCTCCTAGTCCTGCTGGCTCCTGTCTGTAGCCAAAAGCAGGTCCTGAGCTGTCTGGCCCAGCTGTGCCCTTCCCCTCCTCCCCACGGTGCCCGCCAGCCTCAGAAGGCGTCAGCGGTTTGTCGGGGGCAGGATGCATCCAAGGAAGTGGTGGTCATCAGGAAAGCAGAAGAGGTGTTCAGCTCCCTGATGCCCTTCCACATGGCATAGTCCTGCTATTAAAATGGTGTCATGGCGTTGCACGTTCGCTGCCCCTCAGCAGTGCCAGTGGGATCTCCTGGCCTCACCTCCACCTCGCCCCGTGGCCGAGCCCTTGAGGTGCGGGAAGCACAGCGTCTCCTCCTGCTTTGGTACCGCATCCTGAAGCAAACACGCTTCTCGTCCAGCTCTGCCAGTGCCCCCGTTTCCACGCTCGCCTCTGATTGCCATGAACTTCAAAGCTTTTAGTGAGAGCCCGTATGCGAAACTCCGAGCTGGTTTACACAGAAGTGCAGGCAGACACGACCTTACAGAAAGCTGGACCTGAGCCTCCTCAGAGCGTTACGGAACGCTGATGACGCACTCAGTTGCAAGGGATTCACAGCCGGCTGCACCCGTCCACACAGCCCTGGCTCACAGCATGTCCCGCTTCGCCCTCCGAAGCTGGGCAGCTCCGCAGGCCTGACAGGGGCAGAAACGAGCAGGCGGGTTCTTCGTCACCAAAGCAAACAGAACTGACTGCGGGGAAAACCAGGCTGCGGCTCAGCCAAAGACAGGGGCATTTAGCTTCTGCCAGGCAGATGGCTGCTTGACAGGGGATGATCCACAGCATAATGAAAGCCGCTGAAAGACCCCCTCATTTCAGAGGCCCCAACGCGGCTGCTGACATTCACTGTTTTCCACCCAGCACATCCAAGGGCCCAAGGTGAACAAAGCTGGTCCCCCCCATGCCAGCCCCTGACTCCCCTCCTGTTCTCACGAGCCACTTCACACAGCGTGTCCTCACCATCGCATGGCTGCATGTAAGCACAGATGACAAGGGGAAAAAAAAATCATATACGAGATTAATGGAATCTCACAGAACTGCTCCAAAAAGCCAACCCCTGTACTCTGCCATGGAGTCAGACCACTGCGAAGGTCCGTGCACATCCTATGATGAAAACCTATAAGCAACAGTTATTAATATGCATAGGCAACACCAAGCACACAGAAACACTGTCCCCCACTAAAGTGCTAGACTCCAGTCCAGCCTCTAATCTGACTAGGAGCAAACTGCACACTGCTTTCCTATGCACAGCTTTTCTACGAGAGACACGATTTTCTGTCTGTGCTCACCATCATCACTGGTGTGTGGCTCCGTGCCGTTGTCATGGTCAACCTCATCGATTGTGCCTGGCTCGCTGTGTGGGCTGTCACTGAAATAAAATACACCGTGCTTTCAAAGAAAGAACAAGATTCTGTTCCTGAGGCACTTAGCAAAAGTAAGTTGTTGAGGGAAATTCTGGCCCCAGTGACACTTGAAAGAGTTATGGTTTTAGTTTCTATAGGACTGAGATGGTCATTTTGAATCGCATTTGAATCTCTGCTCAACTTGCTTTGAGAACGGCAGACACTCACACCACAATCTTCAGGCCCAGAACATCATGTTCTGTTGCTCATGCATCTTACTCGTATTTGGCAAAACGAATATAAAGTGACACCAAGTTAAAGAGTTCCGCTCACTCATTCATGATGAGTTTTAGTATTTTATCCTCCACTTGCATCAGTAAGGATCGTGTCAGGTGATCAGCGTCAGGGAAGATTAGATCTCAGAAATGTAGAAAACTTGCACACAAATCAGTTCAAGTCTATTATAAATACTGGTTTGTTAAAATCAGATCTGAAGGTCAGTTTAGAATTCCAGCATCCTCCAGACGAATGTGTAATATAATTTACGCTGCTAATGTGGGACTTTGTTTATGGAGTTTTCCTATCCTGGGCATACCAAGTAGGGTGAATTGTGCACCAGAAAGACGCGACACAATGCAGTTGCACATGGCTGGTCGCATCCCCTGGCTAACACAAACTCATCTGTCTTCTAACATTGACAAAACTGCTCCTGAGAGCCCTTCTCCTACATTCGTGTGAGCTGGGGTCCATTCTCTGACTACCAAAGCCCTGCGTTTTGTCACGGATTCACTCTGAATGTACAGTGTCAGAAGATAATCCAAACAAGGGCACCTGGCTTTAAGTTCTGCAAACAATGAAATCCTGTCCCTGCTCCTTACCAGTACTCCTCCCCTCCAGTCATGCACTTCTCGTAGACAGGTCCTTCCAGCTCTCTGTGGCTGGGGAAGATGCCCTCGTGGTTAATGATGATGGTTTTGATGACCTCGTTGACATGGGCTTGGCAGGACACCGGATCCTGCCCATCTGGAATGTGCATCAGAGTGGGCCCAAAGCAGATGGCCAGGTTGTAGGGATCCATCATGTTCTCATCACTGTACTGCGATAAGCTGCAAGCACAAGTGTGAGGGAGGTGCGGTGCTGACTTTCCTCATTCGCTCAGAAGTCTCCCACCACCAAACCCCCATTGGCCAGAAAAGCAATCGTCACTGAGCTGTACATCTTCCCCAGACACCCAGCCATGGCTAGGCAGGGCTGAGGAAGAAATAAAATACAACTCTCCATGGCAATACCGAAAAGGACTCATGCAACAAAGACAGGGAAGCCCTGAAAACAAAGGAGGGCAAGGAGAAACTCAGTGAAAAGAGAAAAAAAAAAAGAGACTCACTGATTAAGGAAAGCAAAAAGATATCTCATGACGACAATGACAGCCCGAGGCAGAGTGACGATGATTTGCTGGATCTGGTGCACTCTCTCAGTGGGGTTCTCGATTTCTGTAACACATGGATAGAAAGCACATCTTTAAACCTTCGCAGGACCACAGGACCAGACAACACAGCACTAGAGGAACTCATTCCAGATCTAGTAGCCCATTATGCAAGGAAACCAGTAGTCTGTTTCCAGATTCGATTCCCTGGTTTGGCACTAAGGTGCAAGCAGAGCATTGGGCATAGCACTCTTCTATGGGTGCAGTCATATGTACATTCAGATATAGTATAAACAGCAAATAAAGACATTTCCATGGTTTTATTTTTAAAATAACCATTTATGAATTCTTTAGTTCATTCCTCAACAACTATTCTGTTTCTCAAAAGCTTTAGTCAATATGGCACTGTAAAATGGAGCACTGCTTGGCTTTCTAGTGCAGATATTTAAATGACGTTTTTATTCACGTTACTCTTATGGGTTAACCATCAGGTCCTTGTGAGCCCTTCTGCTCCAGTCTCCCACTGGTCTTAAGGGGAATTTATTCTGAACCGGAGCCAGTACTTTAAGATTCACTTCTCTCCACAGCAGTGCACAAAGCCCATAGCCACTATCAGAAATCAGCTTCCTGCTGTAGGAGGGAGGGCGACTTAGAGCTACCTTGCTTTCAGTGCCAGCCCACGGGCCTGGGGACCCCCACACTGCCTTTTGAGGAATGCATTTATCCCCTGTTATTGCTTACTGGGTTCTCTACTTCTTCAGTTTGGTTTTACTTAAGAGGACATTTGTTAAAAGAAAAAAAAAATTCAAATAAATAAAAACTGGATAAAAACCTACAACAATAGGTATCTGTTCTGAAACCCAGAGGAAGAAATTGTCCTGAAGCACTTGCCTTTTTCACTTAGCAAAATGTTCCAACTGTTTGTAATTCAGAGGAACTAATGGAATGATCATCAATCACTCTACAATACAGGCACACCCCTGAATGAGTCCTTGCAAACAAAGTGCCTTTTCTATCCATCTACTTCTCACGTGCACTTGAGAAACACTTCCACGTAAACTCTCAGTCCCCCATAAGCAAAAGGAAAAGCCAGCCTTTCATCTGCCAGCAGCCGGCCTGGCTTCCCCGTCACGCAGCAGGGAACGATGCGGCTCTGCAGCTTCCCGGGGCACTCGGAGGCCCTGCGACATGCGCAGCAGCACCTGCTGCAAGAAGCTCGCTCAGAATACCTTACCAAGAGCCAAGGGAAATCAAGGTGGCTCTGTGATGCACTGCGGCGCAGAGCCCAAACCGCCCGGCTGCGTTTAACCTTTCTGCCGTAATTACAAAACGAGACAGAACATCCTACAGCAAGGGTGGCGTTTTACTGAGCAGTGGTTCTCAAAGGAAGAAGGCTTCTTCAATCTGGGTAGGTCGGGACACCTATTACACAGCCTATATTTATGTGGCAGAAAATCAGATGCACTTAAAGTCAGATTTTGAATGGGAATAGGGCCATTTAATTAATTTTAAATCTATCCTTAACTGAAAGGTAGCAACAGCAGCGGGAAAAGTAAGGAAAGATGAGGAAAAGGAAGATTCTTTCTAAAATGAGAAAAAAGAGAGAATACTATCCAGAAAATTAACAGATGATGTTTGCAATGAAAAGCTCCCAAAAGCTTAATAAATTGTGCAAACTGGCATTAATTAGGGATGGTTCCAAAGCACCAGCCTATCTGCAAGCACACAGACAGTCACATCACCAAGCACTGGGCACATTTCCCGGCACTGAAGGGGACTTGTCCCCTTCTCTGTGGGCTGTGCCTCCCAGGCGCCCCGCTCTGCTCGCTGCAAGTGCCCCGGGGAGGGCAGCTGGAGCGAGCGCTGCAAGCCACGCTAGAAGTCCCTGTCTGGGGCACGAAACTGGTGCAGAAACAGCTTCCTTTGTTTGCCATGTTACAGGTCTGCTGTGCTGTTTTACACATCAAAACTGAAAGGCAACAGTGAATTTCCTAAAGCTACTATATAAAACAACTGTTCTTGAAAAAGAAAAGGAAATTCTTCTCCTTCTGGAAGAAGCCCATCCCTGCGTCATTCCCCTCTAGATATCATCTGTCTTTCTTGACGTCACTAAATCTCTAGCAGTTATGCACATTAACATTAAGGAGGAGTAAGGAGCCATGAGCCGTGAAAGCCAAATGCAGGACTTCAGCACGTGTTCACCAGTCAGTCCCCCTGAAGTTATCCACGTACCGAGACACGTGAACCCCCCAACAACCCCGACACCTCTCCTGTAAAATAAAGTCATCCTGCAGCCAAAGCACGCAACATGCTCCTCCATCATCTCTGAAACATCAAATTCATTCTGCCTTTTTCCTTTCCCCCAGGGGAGTAATTTCCATGACTTACCAATAAATAATTGTCATCACTACAAGGTATTCGGAGAAATAAACCCCAGCTGGGATATCCGTTTCTTCCGTTGCAGAGGAACAAGTGGAGCTGGGAGGAGAATTCAGGACAGAACAAGGGCAACCAGGCTCTCCCTGACATCAGTCCCAGACCGTTCATGATTAAAACCCCTCAGCTTCTACCTCTGTGCACACCCCAAAGCACTTTCTGGTTTTCTTTGGCATGGGCAATGCCAAGAGCAAATACATGGAGAACAGCTGACCAAGTGAGGTTGAAAGCAATTTTGCAGACCTCAGGGGCCAGAGGAGCTTTGTGAGTTGCAAACAATTATTGGCCTTCACTATGTTTAGTGAAGACACGGAGCTAAAGCAGCAAAACCCTGTTGGGTCCCAGGAGACAGGGCTGCTTGATGTGTGACGGGCAGGCACAGGAACCGCCGTTACCTGCAGAGATCTGGGCAGGCAGGACAGCCACTGACCCTGTTCAAGCAACTAATGACCCCTCATACAACCTGCAGATGTGTAGATGGGCTTGCTGCATGTGCAGCCCACTGGCCTAAGCTTGGAGATGACTCTCTGGTGATCCTCATGATGCTAGGAAGAATTTAGAAGAGCCAGGAAGAATTTAAAAGAGCCATAGGAAGATGCTTTACCTCTCCCTCGCCTCCACCGCTGCCAGTGCACACCCATCTTTTCACAACAACTTCCATTGCAGACCTATATGCCTTCTTACAACATAAGCTGCTATTTGCAAACCTCAGAGGTACTTGCCCCCCGTTTATTGCTTCTCTTGTCCCACCCTATTCTCCAAGAAGAGCTGTCACTTGTACTTACTTATAGTAGATATCAAATCTTGAAACCTTTCCTTAGGAAAGAGGGGGTTTTCCAGTCCTCGGAAATACAGCTTCAAGACTCCAGCCACTGAATTAATGTCACGTTCATTTTGATCGTCAGCAAGGGGATCTTCACCTGCCCAGACAAGATTTATTTCCAGCATTATTATCAAGTTGGACTAACACAAGAAATGTTTTTTACTAACTCGGTGGAAACCCCAAATTTCTCACAGTTCAGAAAACTCTCCTGTGTGTGGAAAGGTAACGCTAAGCATTTTGTCAGCAATACAGTACTCTGTTAAACAGCATCATACTGAGACAGGCTATAGCCCTACCTACAAAAACCCAGTTTACTGTAGAGAATTTAACCCTTTCCTGAAGATGAGGATGTTATTAATCAGTTTTTCTTCACAGTTTCCAGCCCAGTGCATTTTTACATTTAAGGCAACAGCTCAGAGAGCTGAGCAGATCTAAACGATGGTGGGTGAAAGCCTGAGAAGACAGGCTTGGCTGGAGGATGCAATCATGCCTCTGGAACAGACCGAATGGTTCTGGATAGCACTGTACCCAAGGGATTTAGATACAGTTTCCTCTTAAATTGGATGTGCAAATCCTCCAGCCTTTGACAATCTCACCACTGCCTTATTCATTGGCATGGCCACCTTCACCCCGATCCTTCCATGCTGCCCAAAGATTAATGGCATGGAGGCCATTACCCCACCTAGACTGTTCCTTTCACAGTTTCACCTTCACTTGGTGACAGCAGGATTGCTCTGCCCTGTCTTGCCAGCCTTACATCTTTGATGTGGTTTTCTCAACAGAATCACTGGCAGTTCCACAACCAACACTGCCACCAGGTACATGTGGCAATGCTGCTCCTCCCTTGACAAACCACTACAGAAAGGAGGAAAATGGATCCCCAACAAACTATTCTATGGCTCTCATCTGAGGCTTTCATGCTCTTAATTAATGACTGTGGAAAAGATCTCTGCACCTACCCCTACTTCTCATACTCTTCCCCTAAGTGACTCTTCGCTGCTGCTGGAGATACAATACTGAGATACCTAGAAGGGGAGAAAACCTCCTCATGTCTCAGAGCAGAAAGGCCTTTGGCACAGGCTTTACACAATACCTCGTGCACCCAGCACACACTGAAACTCCCACCAACAATCTCTGCTCGGACTCGGCGTCCCAGCTGCAGCTGCACGCCCTGCCCGCGCACCTCTCTCAAATGAATTCTTGATGTCGTTGACTTCCACTTGGGAGCCAGGGACTCTGAAAATGCCCTGCTGCTGAAGGCCTGGAAAAGAACAATGTTTCAGAAAATATTTCTGTAACTGCTACACAGCACTTTCTGGTAAAGAACAGCAGAAACTGGGAGTCAATGCACCCGGAGAGAAAGGCTCAGAGAGCAGGAAGGCGACAGCCTGCTACGGTTCATTTCTGCTCATATTCTCCAGTCAAAGCCCCCCAGACCAAAGCACTGAAAGGGCCCCCATTGGCCTGGGGCCTGAGTGAACAATTTAACCTGAATAAGCGCTAACAAGACCTAAATATTTGTCAGTCATCCAATGCTACATCACAGTCAATGCCATTGTAATTATAACCCGAGCCCACGTAGTGAGGGCTGCGGGCGTCTCTACTGTATCTCACTGCTAACTACGAGTATTTAATTCCTTTGCAGAAAGTTTCTGTTGATATTACTGAAGCAACTTACCGTACAAATTGATGTAACGAATGCAGCTTTCTACTACAAGTGGAATAGCCTGTCCTGAATCCTTCATGAAAGGAAACGAAAAAATTACTGGTTTATTGAAAACAAAGCACAGGAAATGCATTAAAGATTCCAAAAACAGAGGTTTGAAAATTGGTGCCATTGAGTTTAGTAAGACGACAGGCAAGAAAAGGAGGTGTTACATCAAGCCATCAAAAAGTGCTGAATATACTATGTGCAGTCAATTATGCACAAAAAGAGATTTCACTAAAATGTGTGAAAGATTGCTGCTCACTATTTGGTTGAGACAGGGAACTGATGCAACGGGATCACAGCTACTCCATTTCAAAGGTGTAATGCTGAGCCAAAATAAAACTTGTGCTATACCTGCTTGATGAAATAAGTTTCCAGTAACAGAGCTTACAACAATATTTCCACCTAAAGAAAGAGCCATTGTCAGCAGACGCTAAAAAAAAAACCAAAAAACCAAACCAAAAACACCACAGTGTGGGAAATTAACTGCCTGTATCTAAACCTGTGATAAGTTTTGGCTTTTGTTTCAAAGCTGCTTCTCTCCAGGCTCCTCGTGGAAGGAGACACGTGAGCCATGTCTGACTGCCTAAGTGGACATTTCTTTTCCTTAGGGGCTTTGTTCAGTTTTTTTTTCCAGTAGAGTACAGTTGTATCTCTCTGGTTAATTTACTCCGTCTCATAGACGGGCCTCCAGTAAATACCTGATTTCTTGTTCGCGCATTCCTCCTTCCTCTGAGAACACAAAAAAGCAGCAGAGCGGGGAAAAAAAGAAAAGATTAAGCAAGGATAAGTTCAGTTAGAGGTAAGCATCTCTTTCGGAGGCCATGAACGCTCAAATGCAATGGCAGCTTAGCAAGGTCCAACCCAGGCCTTCAGGCTGTCTACCCCCCCGCCCAAACCCCGTTCGGCACGCTGCACCCAAGCCTCAGCGACCTGCAGAAAGAGCCTCTCGGATTTCTTCCCTCCCCGAACCTGCGGCACTGGCAGGAGCCCGAGCACAAGGCCAGCCCCGGCCCGGGCGCGGGCGAGGC